CGATTGATGAACTGTTTTCTCCTACATGCTCATGAGATCGAGCCCAAAAATCTAAGGTAAATATTCAGGGTATCATTGTAACACCGCGACTCCAATTATTTCCTATTTTAATTAACTTAAGAGAAATTATGAATTTACTCTTGTGTTAAGGGTAATTTTGGTCATTTTCGTATCCGGAAGATTTTGGGACCATGAGTGGTTTGGTTGCGTAGGTGGTACTGAGATGAATCCGTAGACATGCGGTAGGCTTGAATCGGAGATTTAATGAAGTTTTGGCGATCAAAATAAGCTCGATGGCAGAACTGTAATTATTTCAAAGTAAATTGGAGTAAAAATCAGATTTTCAGTTTTTACCCCTCACTCTCTCTCTCTCTCTCTCTCTCTCTTCCGTTTCTCTCTCCCCGACCCTCTCTCTCTCTCCTCGGTTCTCTCTGCATCGGCCACAGTTGAGCGTGAGACCGGTCCCGTTCGACTCGTCGTGAAGTCCCGATCAAGACCCACCCAATTTCCCCGCCGGAAACCGCGAATCCCGCCATCAGTTTTGACTGGTTCAAACTGGAGGTTTTCGCGCTATCGCACCGCCGTCTCCGCCGTCCATTTCCTGTGAACCAGGTGAGGTTTCTTCTCCTTTTTACGTGCTCTAGCTGGACAGCCCGGCAAATAGACATCCACAGGAATTAGCTTATCAACTCCCCGAACAGTACTATAAGAATCGGTACTGAACATCCCCCCTGTAATTGAGGTTAGATTAGAACGATTTTGAAATTTGGAAATTGATTTTGGAAGCTAGGTTTTGGCCGGTTTTCAATTTGAAATTCCGGCCAGTTCCTGTACGAATTGGACCTTGTGGTAGTTGAAGAAAGTGATTTTGACCTTAAGAAGAAGCTAGGGTAGGAAGGGTGAGCTTTGGTGTGGAGATTTTCCGTTGCCGGAAATTTCTCTACACACCCACGTGTGTGGCGGCCCGTGGGCAAGGCTGGTGAAGTTGCTTTTTATCTTGATGAGATCCTTAGGTTGTCACGAGTGCATAGGATTTTACGGATCTCAATTTGGATGTCGTTTGACTATCGAACGGATTTCGCATATTGTGCGTTATCCAGGTTTGATAAGTTCTAACCTTTGGATCGTTTCCAAATTTAAGTATGTTGATCTAGGTACTCTTAGAAACCTATAGGAATTCGCCGATCGTGAATCGGAGCCCCAGATGTTCCGATTCAATAATTCGAAGTTTGGGGATTAGCGATAACCGTACGATTGAAAGCGATTTCCAAACCCGTAACCGGACCTCAGGATATTTCATTGGACGTACACGCATCGGGAACTTGGGGATTTAAGTATTTCCTTTTGTGAATTTCCGTTTTGAAGTGCGTTATATTAATCAAGAGTTCTTATTTCGAAATAGGTACTTCGGTCGATCATTCGCAGCAGGCAAGACCCTCTCGGGGCCTGGCAGCTTGGGATTATCTGTGAGTGGACTTTGTTTTAAGCATATGCATGGTTTTATTGATAAAAGATTTGTGCATATATTTTAAATGGTGATTTTGATTTAATAATTATTTGGTTGATGGATTTGAATATTCTTATGCGTATTGGCAATATATTTTGAATATGGATATATTTGAGTATGAGGAATATGTTTATATGAATTTTGGGATGTCTATCTATATTGCCTATGTATAGAGTATGAGGGGTTGTTGTGGTGAGATTGTGGAAAGATATGAGTTTGAGAGAAGATTGTGAGATGTATGAGTATGTTAGGTGAGTACCATTCCGTAGTTACTAGGCTTCCCACACGCGTCGTTGGCAGTGCCGGTGGGGTGGGAAGGCCATGAGATTGTGGGTCTCACACATGTCGTTGGCAGTGCCGGCGTATGGGAAGAGTATGTATATTGCTTAGTATTATCGCACACGTCGTTGGCAGTGCCAGTGGGGTGATGATACTGTCTGCGCGCGTAGGACTTGTTATGAGATTTGTGAGCTACACGTGTCATTGGCAGTGCCGGCATGTGAGCTATGAAGTTCCGTCCCCTGGTTGGACTACTCATCCCTAGACGCGGGTTAGTGCTCGGAAATCCTGCGTACTAGCCAAACAATCCCCCGGTTGGATTGTTTCCCCTGTACCTTAGTATGGAGAGAAGTATATGTTATATTTATAGTTCTAGTTATGTATATATATATATATATAGGGTTATTATGTTGTTTTAAAATGCAAACTTTATTTTTGTCTACTCACATATTTTTGTTTTGCGCCCCCCAGGCAGTAGTTGCTCTTGGAAGCGTTCGAGCAGGTTGCGAGCTCAAAACATTTCATCCGTAGATAGGACTTGTGTAAATTCCTTCTACTCAACTGTTTGTTATAAACAAATTCTGTTAGATGCTCTGTTATCGCCCATGTTAGGCTGTTACTTGAGGCCGGATGCCACTTTATTTTGGATTGTTGTATGTTGAAAGCATGCTGGCAGTTGAGATTTATATTATGTAAATTATGCAGGTTGAATGTTGTTAGGTTTGAGCATTTTACAGGGGAGGCTCTGCCAAAATTTTGGTATGATGTCTCGGGTTTTTTAGTAAGTGGGCCCGGCATCGGTGTGATGTCGGCACCAAGACGGGGTCCGCCCCGGTTTCAGGGGAAATTCTGGGGCGGGTCCTGTCAATCACTTAGCAGGAAACAAAACAACGTCTTTGAGGCATTTAGTCGAACAATTGGTGGTCACTAACAAAGGGGGCAAATTCCGGCATCCCAAAAGAAGCTTTCGGCGAGGGGAGGTGCAGCTGCACCTCCTTGCGCCTCTGTGGATCTGCCAATGTCCCCTGCGTTTACTTGCAATATGGAATGAAAAAAATAAGTGGAGACCTCACCTCAAAATCCGTAACACATCTCCTGAAAACGCTGGCAGACCCATAAATTTTTTAACTGAGATACAATTTTGAAAGGTTAAAAGCTCTTTGTGGATTGAACATCTAAAGCTTTTTTACTTAGATTGACCTTAGGTCCCTTCATGCATTCATATCATACATGAAAAATTGTTTTATGTAAAAATATTGACTAATTATGAAAAATGATTTTTTGAAATAATCATTTTATGAATATAATTTTTGGTGGCTTTTATTCCTTACATATCAAATAAGAAAACTTAATTTTATGGGATTTTATTATGAAGTATATATATTGACTTAATGTGCCATCATTTTTAGCCTAAATCATATTTTGCACTAAAACTGATTTTTCATATTTTGATTTGGTGGGAATTTGATTTTCTAGTGTTTTTATTTGAATACGGGGGGTACTTCTTTATTTACATTATAAACTTAAAGTAAATGGAGTAATATAAAAGTAAATAAAAGTAAAAGAAAGACATTTACTTAAATGCTGAAAATGAAAACTGTGTAACTGTGCACCACCACCAGCTGAGCAAAGGGGCAATTTGAAGCACCTACAATGGTTTTTCCAGCGACAAAAGGTAAAGTTGCACCTCCTTGGACCTTAATAGGTTTGCCACTGCCTCAAAACCAGGAATCAGATAAACTAAGGGGTAGTCGATACAATTCTCATTCGTTTTTTCCCTTAATCACACCCCTCAAATCTTATGGCACATTTACTTATAAGTAATGGGAATGAGAAGAAAGGGAATGATTTTCATTCCGAGCTTCCCATGCATGTGTTTACTTACACATAAGGAATCATTAAATATGTGGGTCCTACTTAAAAATCATTAATCAAATACCCCAAGAAATAGGAATCGGATAAACTACCCCTCCTAGTTGATCCGATTCCCATTATTTGTTTATACTATTCTATTTCTTCCCATACCATTGATGTTAAGTAGACATGCCCAATGTAACGGTCCTAAATTTCGAGAAATTTCTTAGTGTAAGGTTTGTGATGTTACCAATATTATATTATAATATATATACACACACATTAATACTATACAATAAAAAAGAATCACACGATACCATCACATGCAAAAATATTAATATCACTTAAAACAAGTACTTGTTCTTGTTTGATTATGCCAACATAATTAAGTTGCCTCGGCTAGTAACCTATATATCATGGCCATTGGCCATGCACATGTCATGTCAGCCCATGGCTTTAGACACTGCATGTATGTATGCTACATTATCTTCATGCATGATGCGTGCAACCCGTTGTCTCAGCCATGTCGAAGGCAGCATATGCCCGGACGGTGTTGGCTGCCCCAGAAATACATGCCGCTTGTCAGATATGCTGACAAATAATTGCTTGCCATGTTTAGTTTTTTATAGAAAACTTTCACGAATATCTTTGCCTGTTAGCAGATGAAAAGCCAACAATAATGACACGAATTGATTTTTGTCTTTCATAACTTTCTCTTCTACAAACATACGGGTTTTGGAGAAAAAAGTAATTAACCTTGCTTTTAGTCTGACAGAAAAATAAAGGTCAAAATGAATTCATAAGCCAATACAAACAGGAGATGAATGTAAATAGACTACGTACGTACCATGCATGTTGGTATCTGAGACGTTCAGCCCTAATCAAACCGGAGCTAGGATCAATTTACTACGTCCTTTATTGTCCCTTATTGTATAATAATATTAAAAGAAAAACTCAGTATTGGTTTTAAATTGAAAAACTCTACACGCTTAACATTATATAAAATAGTAATGCTATTTATATACACAATTAAAATTGATTACATTAGCCGACCACCTTATGTGGTGGCTGATGTGATCATGTCATGTAGCCAATTGAAGTAGTAATTATAAAGAAAAGTCTCTTTATATTCTCATATCAATCACACTGTGCTATAAATTTTCATATGCAGTATTAAATTAAATTAATATAATAAAGAGAGAATTTAAAGTTTGCAAAGTAGATTATTCCAAATCATAATTTAAGCGTGTGTACAAACTCATTTCTGTATAATCAAATGTTCGACCCTAATGTGTTTGCAAAGTTTGCAAAGGGTCAAGCAGTGTTTTTTAAAATCCGTAGGCCACCATTGTATTGTCCTCTACATAACCAAGACAGCAGCGAAAGTCCCAACGGCCAAAGATCCAGCAACAGTGAACCTATTCAAATTGGCACCGCTCGGGGCAGGTACAGGAGTCTCAACAGAGACGTCGGAAGAGGAAGAAACCTCTGGAGAGATGACAGGGGAAGACGAGGGAGGAGAAGGGGGAGAGGCAACGGGCTCGTTAGAAGGAGCTGCCTCCGGTGAAGTGCTCGATGGAGAGGGAGTGGTGGCTGGTGGAGTACTGCTCGATGAAGAAGGAGTGGCGGCAGGTGGAGTGCTCAATGGAAGAGGAGAAGATGCAGCCATTGGTGGAGTGCTCAATGGAGAAAGAGATGCAGCCATTGGTGGAGTGCTCAATGAAGGAGAAAATGCAGCCATTGGTGGAGTGCTCAATGCAGCCATTGAAGGAGAAAATGCAGCCATTGGTGGAGTGCTCAATGGAGAAGGAGATGCAGCCATTGGTGGAGTGCTCAATGAAGGAGAAGATGCAGCCATTGGTGGAGGAGAAGATGCAGCCATTGGTGGAGTGCTCAATGGAGAAGGAGATGCAGCCATTGGTGGACTCAATGGAGAAGGAGTAGATGCAGCCATTGGTGGAGTGCTCGGTGGAGAAGGAACAGTTGGAGAAGTGCTCGGTGGAGAAGGAACAGCTGTTGGTGGAGTGCTCAATGGAGAAGATGCAGCAGATGTGGACGGCGATGATGCAGGGGATTGGGCCCTTGTTGAGGCCACTAAGAGTGCAGCCATTAGAACCAGAACCACATGGATGGAGCGAATGCAGCCATTGGTGGAGTGCTCAATGGAGAAGGAGATGCAGCCATTGGTGGAGTGCTCAATGAAGGAGAAGATGCAGCCATTGGTGGAGGAGGAGATGCAGCCATTGGTGGAGTGCTCAATGAAGGAGAAAATGCAGCCATTGGTGGAGTGCTCAATGGAGAAGGAGATGCAGCCATTGGTGGAGTGCTCAATGAAGGAGAAGATGCAGCCATTGGTGGAGGAGGAGATGCAGCCATTGGTGGAGTGCTCAATGAAGGAGAAAATGCAGCCATTGGTGGAGTGCTCAATGGAGAAGGAGATGCAGCCATTGGTGGAGTGCTCAATGAAGGAGAAGATGCAGCCATTGGTGGAGGAGGAGATGCAGCCATTGGTGGAGTGCTCAATGAAGGAGAAAATGCAGCCATTGGTGGAGTGCTCAATGGAGAAGGAGATGCAGCCATTGGTGGAGTGCTCAATGAAGGAGAAGATGCAGCCATTGGTGGAGGAGGAGATGCAGCCATTGGTGGAGTGCTCAATGAAGGAGAAAATGCAGCCATTGGTGGAGTGCTCAATGGAGAAGGAGATGCAGCCATTGGTGGAGTGCTCAATGAAGGAGAAGATGCAGCCATTGGTGGAGGAGGAGATGCAGCCATTGGTGGAGTGCTCAATGAAGGAGAAAATGCAGCCATTGGTGGAGTGCTCAATGGAGAAGGAGATGCAGCCATTGGTGGAGTGCTCAATGAAGGAGAAGATGCAGCCATTGGTGGAGGAGGAGATGCAGCCATTGGTGGAGTGCTCAATGAAGGAGAAAATGCAGCCATTGGTGGAGTGCTCAATGGAGAAGGAGATGCAGCCATTGGTGGAGTGCTCAATGAAGGAGAAGATGCAGCCATTGGTGGAGGAGGAGATGCAGCCATTGGTGGAGTGCTCAATGAAGGAGAAAATGCAGCCATTGGTGGAGTGCTCAATGGAGAAGGAGATGCAGCCATTGGTGGAGTGCTCAATGAAGGAGAAGATGCAGCCATTGGTGGAGGAGGAGATGCAGCCATTGGTGGAGTGCTCAATGAAGGAGAAAATGCAGCCATTGGTGGAGTGCTCAATGGAGAAGGAGATGCAGCCATTGGTGGAGTGCTCAATGAAGGAGAAGATGCAGCCATTGGTGGAGGAGGAGATGCAGCCATTGGTGGAGTGCTCAATGAAGGAGAAAATGCAGCCATTGGTGGAGTGCTCAATGGAGAAGGAGATGCAGCCATTGGTGGAGTGCTCAATGAAGGAGAAGATGCAGCCATTGGTGGAGGAGGAGATGCAGCCATTGGTGGAGTGCTCAATGAAGGAGAAAATGCAGCCATTGGTGGAGTGCTCAATGGAGAAGGAGATGCAGCCATTGGTGGAGTGCTCAATGAAGGAGAAGATGCAGCCATTGGTGGAGGAGGAGATGCAGCCATTGGTGGAGTGCTCAATGAAGGAGAAAATGCAGCCATTGGTGGAGTGCTCAATGGAGAAGGAGATGCAGCCATTGGTGGAGTGCTCAATGAAGGAGAAGATGCAGCCATTGGTGGAGGAGGAGATGCAGCCATTGGTGGAGTGCTCAATGAAGGAGAAAATGCAGCCATTGGTGGAGTGCTCAATGGAGAAGGAGATGCAGCCATTGGTGGAGTGCTCAATGAAGGAGAAGATGCAGCCATTGGTGGAGGAGGAGATGCAGCCATTGGTGGAGTGCTCAATGAAGGAGAAAATGCAGCCATTGGTGGAGTGCTCAATGGAGAAGGAGATGCAGCCATTGGTGGAGTGCTCAATGAAGGAGAAGATGCAGCCATTGGTGGAGGAGGAGATGCAGCCATTGGTGGAGTGCTCAATGAAGGAGAAAATGCAGCCATTGGTGGAGTGCTCAATGGAGAAGGAGATGCAGCCATTGGTGGAGTGCTCAATGAAGGAGAAGATGCAGCCATTGGTGGAGGAGGAGATGCAGCCATTGGTGGAGTGCTCAATGAAGGAGAAAATGCAGCCATTGGTGGAGTGCTCAATGGAGAAGGAGATGCAGCCATTGGTGGAGTGCTCAATGAAGGAGAAGATGCAGCCATTGGTGGAGGAGGAGATGCAGCCATTGGTGGAGTGCTCAATGAAGGAGAAAATGCAGCCATTGGTGGAGTGCTCAATGGAGAAGGAGATGCAGCCATTGGTGGAGTGCTCAATGAAGGAGAAGATGCAGCCATTGGTGGAGGAGAAGATGCAGCCATTGGTGGAGTGCTCAATGGAGAAGGAGATGCAGCCATTGGTGGACTCAATGGAGAAGGAGTAGATGCAGCCATTGGTGGAGTGCTCGGTGGAGAAGGAACAGTTGGAGAAGTGCTCGGTGGAGAAGGAACAGCTGTTGGTGGAGTGCTCAATGGAGAAGATGCAGCAGATGTGGACGGCGATGATGCAGGGGATTGGGCCCTTGTTGAGGCCACTAAGAGTGCAGCCATTAGAACCAGAACCACATGGATGGAGCGAGCCATTGTAGAGAGAGAGAGAGAGAGAGAGAGAGAGAGAGAGAGAGAGGGAGGGAAGGTTAGGGTATAAGAGGGAGAGAGAGAGAAGGTTTAGGGTGTGAGAGGCAGAGAGGCGAAGGATGGGTTTAAGGAGAGAAGGGAGATGGATTTTTATATAGGAACGTTGAGGAGACTTGGTTGACAGATTTTCGTTGGTTTCTGAGAAACTTCTTTGACCTTCCGAATCTCAAGGGATTTATTTGGAGATTGTGGAGAAAATACTTAGGTGTGCCGGTACTCTACACCTATATATCTCTCGTCACGGGTATCAATTAGTAGAAAATCGGTATATATAACCGAGATAGGTAAGTTTTTCTAAAAATCGTTTTACCAACTCTAGCAAAGCACGGTTTGAGTCTTGGGAGGATGGTTTTGGCAGTTGGAGGCCGATCAATATTCAGAGAATGCTTTGGTTCCTTGTTATGTATCCATAATGCATTACACGACTGTATAATTAAAGGATCTATAATATGAGTTGTCCAAAGAATAACTAATAATCAGTTGTGCTTAACAAACGAACCAAATTTAAATAGATCATTAATTTTTGGCCAATTACCCACCAACATCGTCTTGGGGTTGATAAATTGATTATGTACAGCATATAAGTTGCCTTCCTTTGTGGCTTTGCCTAGACAAGTAACTACCATGTACGTATGTGAGTCTACGGTGTGATGGCCACATCGTTTTATGGTGTTATCAATCCACTCATGTTCTAATATGTCTATTATATATATGTATATATACCTAAGTTCATTAAATATCAATCACATGGTTTGCTAATTGAATGAGTAACACTACGTTTGCATTCATTTTAATTAGATCTCTAAACTCAAGAGAAATAAATTGCCCCTCCCTTTAAACTCAAGAAGCATAAGCTCTATTTTACTACTTTTTGTTTAAGCAGAAATAAATATCATCCAGCTTCAAAGTCTATATCAAGAAATATCAAGAAATTATATAACAGAAGAAAAAGATGATTATTATATACTTTCATGAGGGATCCATAAAGTTCCTTAGAAATTTATTCTAGTAATTCATCATTCAGCTATATATGGTTGTAGAAATTCTTCTTGTCTTGCACAATCACTCTTGACTCATGTATTAATGTATTGGGGGTTCCTTGGGAGAAAGTGTCCTTGGAGAAGAATAATCTACCCCAATCTCATCTTCGCCACCTGAGTTATGCATCGGAGGGGGTTGGAGTGGAGGATGTGTCCTTGGTGGAGCATAATCCACACTGAACTCATCATCTTCATCTTCTGAGTTATGCATTAATATTGGAGGGGGCTGGACTGGAGGATGTGTCCTTGGGGGAGTATAGTTGTCTACCCCAAGCTCATCATCTGATTTTCGCATTAATATTGGAGGAGGTAGGAATGGAGGATGTGTACTTGGAGGAGTATAGTCTACCCCAAACTCTTCTCCTTGGTCCTGTGTTGGACAATATTAATTCACATTTTTAAACATTAATTCAACTTACTTTTTTTATACCCACATGGATGTCATGTTGGCCAGTTGCTGAAGATCCTTCTCGTGCTCCTGCAGGGCGAATTATTCCTTGGAAAAAAAAAACGATTTAGTAAAAAAAAACAAATATAAGACTTTATATTTCATTTAGACCCAAAACAGAAAAAAAGAGATCTATTTTCATGACCATATCTTACCTTCAACATTATGGAGGTGAAGGAACAAGAGAACAAGGAAGAAAAATATGCAACACGTTTTCTGAGAAATTGAGTTTCTCATGTCAGCCTCAGGCCCTCACCAACCTTAGAATTTGTCAATCTAATAAGGTTTTGAGATGTATATAAGTATAGAAAATACAAGTGAAGTGAAGACGAAGGCAATTTTCGGCATGTATATATATATATATATACACACACACGTATGTATGCGTGCATGCATATGGGACCTCCATTGGAATCCAAGGGAAGCTAGGCAATTGACTCCGCAAAAAGACCCTCCCATTTATGTTTCCTTGAATTAATTGGATTCAACCAATACTTGTATGGGCAGTTGAGCTACTTATATATGAATGTTATGGCCATGCAAAAACCATCACTGGGTCGGTGACAAATCGGTGACAAAAATAAACTTCTGAATGGGACATCAGAACAAGATATAGAATTAAAATCAATGGTCTTGATTTTTCTATATATCTGGGCTGTATGCACAAGGAAACTAATAATTAGATACGATTAGCTAGTTGCTAATTAGTGACCAGAAATGGAAATGGTGGATGCGTATTATCTTTTTTTTTTTTTTTTCCACACACGCTACACGAATGGTATGACTCAAACTCAAAAACCTTGCTTGGGGAGCAATTGCGTGTTATCAAAGTTGAAGGACAATATTGTATCTTTACATGAGCCGGTGAACAAAGAAAGTTAGGCCGCTAGGCCTTAGGGTTTAGGTTTAGGAGAGTAGTTAGTGTGGTTTTGGCTAATTAATTTGAACAAGACCCAGATCACAGATGTATTGCAAAATTTAATTTTATTGTCTTTAGGGAAGGTGATTATCAAATAAATAGATTCTCTATGAAAAATAATTGGTACATTATTTAGAGAAAAAAAAAAGGTTCATTTAAAAAAATTCATAAAACAAAAAATAAATAGATTATCAAATAATTTTTCATAAAACAAGTAACAGGTACATTATTTAGAAAAAAATAGATACAAAATTTAGCCAAAAAAATAGGTTCATTATACTAGGTAAATTGTTTTACGAGGTGCATTATTAGAGAAAAAAAATAGGTACATTATTTGGAGAGAAAAAATAGGTTCATTATTATTATTATTATTTTTTTCATAAAAAAAACAATAAAAAGATGATCAAATTATTTGAGAAAAAAATAGGTTCATTTGAAAAAAAAATTTCAAAAAACAAACAATAAATAGATTATCAAATTATTTTTTACAAATTTATAAATAAACCCAATCCTAGACATGTATCTATAAAAAAACCCAAGCACTATTTAAACATAGAAATACACCCAAAATCAACCCCAAAGTCAACTTTTTGGGTGTGTTTATAAATGGGTTTTGAGTGTGTGTAATGATGGATTTTGGGTGTGTTTATAAAGTATTTTGGGTGTTGGGTTTTTTTATAATTTCAACCTCTATTTTGGGTGTTTTAGTGAAACTCCCATTATTTTTCAACCTAATTAGAATGTACACTATTATTCATAAAACTATAATAAAATAGATTACTAGTCGTATAATTCATAAAAGGAAAACAACATAATTTTTTAATTAAATAAACCAAAACATTAATCACCTACAGATTACTAATACGTTAATGTTGAATTTAATATTTAATTTCAAATAAGTTTCTAAATTAATTCCTACATCCACTACAACTATTTGGAGATCTTTCCAAATTCAATATGTGTCATTAGTTACACCTCACATAACACATTAACTTATAAATAGGGGTAGTTTTGGAATCCAAAAAATACAATAAATCAGATTTTAATTATATTAGGTAACTTGCTTAATTTGATCATAGTTATCAAGTATTATTTGAAAAAATTGGGTATTTTAAATAGAAAAATAAAGGAAAGGGTTGTAGGTGATTTAAAATGAATTTTATGGGTCTAAACTTAATTTACTATTAAATTTAATACAAATAAGCAAATTTAATTTGTATAAATTTGAATATAACAAACAACAAATATCACGTAAAGTAATAATGACTTGTCTTGAAAATCCATAGGCCACCATAACAGAGTTATAGTTTGATTGTGCTCTACATAACCAAGACAGCAGCGAAAACCCCAGCTGCTACAGATCCGGTGACTGCAAACCTATTCAAAGAGGCACTGCTAGGGCCGGGTGCGGGAGCCTCTCGTGAAGAGGGAGAAATCTCCGGAGAAATGACAGAGGAAGATGAGGGAGGAGAAGGCGGGGAGTCGGCAGTGGGCTCACTAGCAGCCGGTGAAGTGGTGGATGGAGAGGGAGCGGCAGCCTTAGGTGGAGTGCTCGATGGAGAAGGAGAAGACGCAGCCTTAGGTGGAGGGCTCGATGGAGAAGGAGCAGCTGATGTTGTGGTGCTCGATGGAGAAGCTGCAGGTGACTTGGTTGGTGAAGATGTAGGGGATTGTGCCCTTGTTGAGGCCACCAAAAGAGCAGCCATCAGAACAAGAACCGCATTGGTGGACCGAGCCATTGTAGAGAGAGAGAAGGGTTTTTTTTTTTTTTTTTTTTTGATCGAAAGAGGGAGAGAAGGTTTAGGGTTTGAGAAGTTGAAAGGCAAAGGATGGGTTTAAGGAGAGAAGGGAGAGGGATTTTTATATAGGAACGTTGAGGAGACTTTTTTTTTTTGGACGAACGTTGAGGAGACTTGGTTAACAGATCTTGGTTGGTTTCTGAGAAAATTCGTTGACCTCCTGTTTTCAAGGGACATGGGGTGGTGGAGATTTTCTCCTTTGATAAAAGGAAAGTTTTTCCAATTGGATTTGGTTAGAAATTGTGAAGAACTTAGGTGTCCTGGTTGTATATAGACAAATTTTTAAAAAATGTTTAACATGGAAAACGCGGTTTGTGCATACATGGAGGAATGAAAATGTCTTAATTTCCTCCTCAAATGCACCAATTAAACTTTCAAATAACAAGATATAGTAGTGCATAAATAAGAGGAATTTGATACACCTTCAAGAGGTTTCAGAATCACATTAATTGCACATTACAAGACTATTTCTGTATAAATAAAGGATCTAATTAGGGTTGATCAGAAGTACAGCCAAGGGCGAAGAAAGACTAGTATAATACAGAAAACATCAAACACATGTATTTAAGCTGTGAATACGTAAATACAACGACGATATCGAGCTTTTATATGTTCTTTGAAACAGAAAATGTGTCTGCAAAATGCTGAATTGCTTATGGAACTATCAATCAAGCCACATTTTGTCTATACTTGAAATAGCTCTCCTTCAAGTCATGGCTCCACCATAGCTTCGACACTTGCTGGTAAGCCCTTTCAGTAACGTTGTTGATACTCCGTGGCACATCTCTTCCCTCCACAGCTCATAATTCCTCTATACAGGCCACTCTTCCTTGAAACATTCTAGTGTACATATATAAGGTATATGTGTAATGTTGAAAATAAAAGGCTCCATTCGTAAATTTCAAAACGTGGATCGGTTTGTCCACAATTTTTGGGCCAGGGACTGTTTGTTCTTTGAGCCTTTTATTTGGACTAATCTGTCAACACTCCCTAGACTGTTTGTTCTGAGATTCAGCCTTGTGTAACTTCGATTATGTTAATGCAGTATTCTTTTCTCTTCTTTCAATTGTGTTTTCTCGCTCTCCGTCATGGGTTGTCTCTGGCATCTTGAGTTTCCTTTCCTTTTTCATGGGTTGTCTCTCGCATCTTGTGTTCTCTCTCCCTCTCTTGACTACTTTCTCCTTTTGATGGATGTTACCTTTTCTCCTCTATTTTTGTCTCTCCTTTTTCCATCTTTATTTTGAAAGGATTTTATCTCTATGTGTTTTGCCCACACTCTATTTTCCTTTCTCTGTCTCACTTGGTTTCCTCCTTTATTTCTTATTATTGTTTTTTGGGTCAATCATCCCTCTTTATTTTAATCTCTATGGGCCTCTATCCTCTTGTGGTGATCTTTTCTTTATTACTTCTCTATTCCCCTGTGGTTTTCTTCCCCATACCTTATTGTTTCTATGATGCTTTGAAATTCAAACTTGCTCATGCTCTTGTTTTCTTTTCTCTGTGTCAGAAGTTGGTTTCACCTCCTATTCTCTACTGTTGTGATGCACCCTCTCTTAACCCCTTTATTCCCTTCAAATATTCATTCTGTTCACTCTGCACGCATCCCTTTCTGCTTTCCATGTGATGAATTTTCTTTTGTTTCCATTCCTCATCTTTATTATATTTATAAATAAAAAAATGCACTTGTCTAAATTATTTTTCTTTCTCATTCCTCTTTACAACATTGTCTATTTCTCTTTATCCTACCTAGAGGGTGATTCCTAGGTAGCGTTATGTTTCTCAGGTGCCTAGAGTTGTTTCCTAGGTACATTTGACTTGCATGTCAGCTTGTCATTTATATTCCTTCCTTCCATGAGCCCATGCTCTCCTTCACTTGCTGCCTTTTAATAGGCGTTATGTTTACTTTGTTTCTCTCATGCCGCTATTGTAACTCTGGAGATTGTAGTTCTTCTTTTTAGTTCCCTTTACTGGACTACTACAGCTGACTATTGCCGCAATCTCCATCACCATGTAGTTTCTTCAGTCAAATCTTGTTATGCTGTGCGCGCTCGATTTGCAAGGGTGTATTAGGGAGTTACAATAGTTAATCCTACTAATGATAGGAAATGATCAGTTGTCAGTTACGTTGTTATTGGGTCATAACTCCATATTTATGTTTAGGGTTAATGACCTAAATGGTCCTCCAACTATTGCTCCAATGTCATTTTGGTCCACTAACTAAAATTTTCAATTCAAACGTCCTTAAACTTTTTATTTTGTACCAAGATGGTCCATCTGTCAAAGTCTGTGTATTATTCCTTGAAATCGAGGGACAAAACCGTATTTTTAGGTGAATATCCTCCTCTAAAAGGGTTATTGATCCCAATGGTCCCTCAACTAGTATCATTTTGGTCCACCAACATTTGAACCGTCCTTCAACTCTTTTTTTTGTTTTTTTTTGTATCGAGATGGTCCTACTGTTAAAGTTTGTCAATTTTATTGTTAAATTGAGGAGTAAAAATGTCTATGAATTAAAATAGTAATATATAATTAAAAATTAAAGAAAACTATTATAAAACTTAGGAAATTTTAAAAAATTGAATCTCACTAGCCACATGGCTTTTTTTTTCTTCGTGAGACTGACCTAACAATTAATAATAAATAATTATCTATTGTTTAAATTAATTAAAATCACATAAATATAAAATAAAATAATTTTTTTTTTAAAAGAGTAAACAATAATTAAAAATTAAAGGAAACTATTATAGGAACTTGTACCTAATTTTAAAATTGAAAAAATTGAATCTCACCACCAACATGGCTTCTTTTTTATGACATGGACTTAAAAAGTAATATTTTTTTTCTATTGTTTAAAATAATTAATTTTTTTTAATAAGATAAATACAAAAATAAATAACAATAAAATTGATGGACTTTGACAATAGGACCATCTTGATACAAAAAAAGAAAAAGAAAAAGTGGAAGGACGGTTCAAATGAAAATTTTAGCTAGTGGACTAAAATGATACTGGAGCAATAGTTGAGGGACCATTTCAGCCATACCCTTCGACAGAGCTTCTCAAAAAGTCACAAATACCCTTCAAAACTCAGTCACGTGGCCATTGCATGATCAAAAGTGACGGAATCTGTCACGGATGGACCATTTTGGTACAAAATAAAAAGTTTAAGGACGTTTGAATTGAAAATTTTAGTTGGTGGACCAAAATGATACTGGAGCAATAGTTGGGGAACCATTTAGGTCATTAACCCTTATGTTTATGTTTATGATATGGAGTTGGAGGACTATTGAAATGAAAATTTTAGTTGGTGGACCAAAATGAAATTGGAGCAAAAGTTAGGGGACCATTTCGGTCAATAACCCAAGATGATATATCGAACCATAATTTATTTTTGGGGTTTTAGGTCTAATGGTCCCTGAACTTTGACCAGATTCTCATTTTGGTCCCTCAATTTTCAAAATCATTCTCGTGGTTCTTCAACTTTAGTTTTGTTATGACCAATGGTATTGCCGTCAATTTTGTTATCTTTTCTGTTAAATGCATAAGCGAAATGGTATTTTTGTATTATTTTTAAGAGTAATGCTACACTTACCACATTATTATCCCACATTTCTATACCACATGATGTGGCATGTCCATATCATACGACATATCAATTAAATGAATGAAGTGTATTTTAATAAATAAAATTAGAAAAACAGAAACTAGTATTTTACATGATGTGATATGTACACATCAGCCGCCACATCATGTGGTATAAAAAATGTGGTAAGACTAGTATTATTCTATTTTTAATTTCCACCATCTGAATATTCCTTTCAGCATTTGAATATTTTTAATTTACCCTAGGAGTGAAGCAATTTCCGATTTCTGGGTAACCAAAAGACTCCCATTTATAGGCGCTGGAGGAGTAGCATGGATAAGTCTTTGGCCTTTAATGCTGGCAGGTAAGACGTTGGAGGTTGAGTGTTAAATATAGTTTTTAATGATGGATGGTGAGACGGTGGAAGCTGGGTTTTAATGTTAGTGGAAGAGACGTGGGTAGCTCTGGCTTTGATGCTGGTAGTACAGGCTGGTGGTTCTCTCTACTAACCCATGTAATTGGACTCATGAAAGTGGGCCTGAGTTTTGGTGCCCTCAAGTAGCCTAAAACTTCCACTATTTGATCCCTCAACGGGCTTATAGGCATTTGTAACCATCCACATCACAACTCGCTCAGTAAGCCTCATGCATGTCTGTGGCTTGAGCCTACTTAAGCGAGTCAGGTGATTTATCATTGGAAAATGTATTAGCTTGCACACAGTTATTTGACATTTTCTTCGCATGACATGTACACTATTTGATCATGTATAAAAAATATTCATATATTCATTTGGGGATAAATTTCTAAAATACAGCTTGAATTAGCATGTGACAACTATTGTACATTATATTGGACTTTGAATATCCTTGGGCTTCTCATGACATTTTGGGCCTCAACAATAGGGAAAAAATCTCTAGTTTTGTTTCAACAACTGGTGAAATAATCTGTGTATACTAACTAGGATGTTATATTTCCTACTCAAAGGTTCTTAAAGGGAGCTTTAAGCATTGATCAACACTTCTACTCAACGCCACATTTGAGAAAAATATACTTGTAAGTGTCCAAAGTTGTTATTGTCATAATTATTGCTAGAGTGATTGTCATGCATTTCCTACTGGAAATGGCAAGATGGTACCTGTAACACTGGTTACAGAAATATATGTGCACAATGATCCTCATCACAGTTTCACTTCATTCATATAATCTTTTTGTTTCACCTTTTAGAGTGATTCTTCTCTAGGTGAGTGACACCCTAGCCACATTTTTATATTCAAGTTTGGGGTACATTGTTTTGGTTACTTTTTCAGATAGGTGTATAATATATATTAAAAAGAATTAATATATTTTTTTTATTCAATAATATGTGAAAA